GACGATCAATGCTATGCCTGTCAAGTTCAAAGGAAAAGCTGCTGATAAAGCCATTGAAAAGAAGGATGTCCCCAAGGAAACTGAACAAAGAAGATTGACTCTGAAGGAAATACAAGCAAAGCAGTACCCTTTCCTTGATTCAGATGTCTCTGGCATATTTGACGATCTGATGGAAGCAAAACTCATTGAGTTACCCGAGATGAAGCATCCTGAAGAAGCTGGCAGGGTGAACGACCCAAAATATTGCAAATACCACCGTCTTGTAGGGCATCCAATTCATGATTGCTTCGTATTCAAGGACAAGGTTATGCAGCTGACACGCCAAGGAAAAATCTCGCTGGAAGAAAGTAGCGCAACTGCTAATCATATAAGTGAAGCTTGCAACATGATGAATGAGCACGAAGCTCCGCTAGAAGAAAACAATAGGCCTGAGGTTGAAACTCACCATGTTGATAACGATTCCATGATGGTCTTTACTGACGAAGATTTGCTGCTTGGTTCTAAGCCTCACAACAGACCGTTGTTCGTGGCCGGCTATGTGCAAGAGCAAAAGGTTAACCGAATATTGATTGATGGAGGATCAACAGTCAACATCTTGCCTCTTCGCACGCTAAAAGAGTTGAGAATGACCACTGAAGAACTTGGTAATAGTCGATTGATGATTCAAGGCTTTAACCAAGGGGGGGCAAAGAGCTCTTGGCATCATAAGGTTGAGATTGCTGATGGAAGATATGGAATCAACTGCTATGTTTCATGTCATCGATGCAAAAACTTCTTACAATATGCTTCTCGGTCGTCCATGGCTTCATGAGAATGGCGTGGTTCCGTCCACATGGCATCAATGCTTTTAATATTGCAAAAATGGCATTGTGAAGACTGTGCTTGGTGATGATAAACCTTTTACGGAGGCTGAAACTCATTTCGCTGATGCCAAATACTATTTCAATGATGCAAAACCAGTTGAGAAAGTCTCGTCTAAGCAGCATAAAGGGTCTGAAAGTGAAGAATCAAAGATTGAAGAGGTAGAAAACTCTTTAAAAGAGTTAGTGTTGCCGCTGCGGAAGGTAAATGACGAGAAACCTATCTCCCAACCACCCATGAACTTTGTTCGTCCAAGAAAAGGAGCTGTGACAAAACATGGTGAAGGATTGAAGAACTCTAAGTGTTTTGATCCAAAAGCTACAAGCTTCTCGTTAAAGCAGGATACAATCCCAATGAAAGTCGCTCTTTGGGAAAGCTCATACCTCAAGAGCAAAAGCACAACCGGGCAGGTCTTGGATATGTGGCATCGAGTCCAATTAGAATCGCCATCAAGAGAGCAAATGCCAACCATGTCTCGGAAGGAGAGTTCTCGTCTTCTGACGGTAAAAAGAAAGAGAAAAGAGTGTCGGTGTTTCAAAGACTCGGTCCGGTGCAAAAGTCAAAAGGGAAACAATCTGTGTTTCAACGGCTGGGATCCTTCAAGCAGACAAAGCCTTTAAGACAAGAAAAAGGTGTAGGCCCAGCTCCAAAGCTTAGAAGTCTAATTCCGTCACGTATGAAACGTCAAAC